TCCCTTCTTTTGCAAGATTTCAACCTGCAAATCAAACATAAGAAAGGGACGGAAAATGTCATCGCTGACGCCCTGTCGAGAGCAATTTCATAGTTTGGGAATTAAACAATAGGAGGGTTGTTTAATTGTTTTTGTTTTTCGTCAGTTTTCACCTGGTTTGATATTTATATTTACCCCAGAGTCATTTTTGGGCAATGCCCTGATTTTATGCTGAGCTTTAAAGGAATTTTAAGAGGGTAATAACAAAAACAGCCAGTACAGATTTGCACATGGACAGAGCTGGAGCTGTTAACTTATCAGGTTGTACATGAGTACTAATCAGTTCTTCGGTTTTTCCACAGTTATAGTGTTGTTATGGAGCTATATCTGAGTGGAAGACTTTTGAGAACCAGACCACATTTTAACAAATCTGATGTCTGAACATTATATATGTATATAATAAAAGTTGGGGAAATGTCCACTTAAAGAAAATCATGGCAGACAGAATCCTCTCATAGCTTGAGAGTGGTTCCAGATTCTTTGTGCAGCAGTAATCCTGTACAGTATTGCTCAGGTACAAGGCAAACTGTAAATGATGATGAAACATTTTTTACCAAAAACTATTTTGGTAGTCTCTTATTCTATTCATGCCCCTTAATGTAGCCATATTGTGAACTTTGGACAGAACTGGGTTAGCTGTTTCTGAATCCTGTTTTCATGCTAAGTTATTCTAAAGACAGGGTTATTTTGTTTTGGAACCAAATCAGACGTTAATGAAACTCAAAGTCTGTACTGTAGCAACTGTAGTGTCTAGATAGTCTTTGTCGTTTTTAGTGCCTTAACGTAACCGAATGAATTTTTGAAGAATTGATGCTAATGTAGAAATCTCTGATATATATGACTTAAACTTGGGTGTGTAGTGTGTAAATTCTTTGCTCCACTGCCCTTCCATTTTCCAAATGCAGACTTATTTGCTTTAAAAAATATTGATGAAAGCAAGATTAAATATTACATTCAGGGATATGAAAATAATGTAGGGACGTTTGTGTCCAGAAACATGAATCAATAGAACATTTCCCATGTTGCTTGTTTGTGTTTATTGTGTTATGGTGTGTTGATACCTGTGCATTCCTGCATTATCCTTTTGTGTTGCACATTTCGATGATTTTTTTGCTTGCTACCTGGCCTGACCTGTCTCCCCAATGTGATGTTTGTATTGTATACGGTCGGCAAGGTCTGTCATCTCGGTTGTGGGCAAAAGACCTTCAACTGACAAATAAAGGCTATCTCATCTCATCTCATCTCATCTCATCTCATCTCATCTCATCTCATCTCATCAACATTTCTTCAGGGAGACACCGATGGTGGTTTTGGTTTGTACCCCACTAAGTTTCTTTCTTTCCACCACTCAGAATTACAACCTGCAAGTCAGTCTGCAAGTCAGTTATTTCTGATCTACTACCCTCAAAAAGAATATTAAAATACACCAATACACATGAAATCCTCTCACAAATGTTTACACATTCTATTAATTTAACAACACACTTATGATACAGAATGAATATTTGCACAGAACAGATTTCATTAAAAAAAAAAATCAGCATAGAACAAACAGCTGGTTTGACATGAGTCATCAGAGGACACCTTCTTTTCTTCACTAAGTGTTGGTAACCCAATGAGAAAGCAGTAGGGGAAAAGAACAGTATACTTACATTTATAAACACAAGCTCAAGTCTTAAATGCTTTAAAGGTTTTGGACATGGTGACAGCCAAGCTTGCAACACTTATAACTATTCTGATAAGCCAATCTGTTCTACAGACTAGGTATTATGTTAAAAA